ATTAATACTTCCGTATTTTCAAATTAGAATTATCGCTACATGTAGACTATTTTTCTACTATTATATGTAAATTGTTACGCGTTAATATCAAACATTGTATATCATTTCAGACACTATGTTATTGTAAATTATGGAGAATTCTGACCTCCGCACATTTCAAATCTAATCGTTATGTGTTATGATTCCTCGATAACCGCGGGTTTTTCTAACAGGTATCTAGCCGTTAGTAATAAAAATAGAATACGATAATAACAATTTATTATAGTCGAAGTACTCGTCATAAAAATATTTATTTATCTAAGCTCGCATTCCATAATAATCTTTGAAAAATTGATTATTTTCTTATACTATCCAATTGTAATTGCAGATTTTTAAATACTCATTGACGAAGAGGATTGTGTTGGTCAGAAAGAAGGAAACTACGCACTCAATATTTTTTTGAATGTAAGACAGATAATTTTTATTATAATTCTACACGTAGTTTAAATATACGTAATCTAATTTCGATCTTCTTTTTGTTTGCACGATGAAGATAAAGGAAAAGGATTGCCGAGAAAATGAAGGGTTTAGAAGTATCAAAATTAAATAACTATCAAAAAAAAGTGTACAACGAAATCCAAGAATTGATCGAACCCGAAGAGGAGACGGTTATCACAATCGATACGCCAAGTGGGACAGGAAAAACAACTCTTCTATGCTCCTTGGCCGTAAACAATCCTTCGGTGAAGTTCCTCACTTTCAGAAGAGATCAAGCAAGTGAGATTAAAAAAATGAAAATCGACGCATACACTTATGTATCCTTCATCATGCACCATTTCAATTTGACTTACACCCCCGCGCTTCAAATGTTTCAATCGTTTAGTACGGACAACGTTGCCGAGCTATACAATTTATTAGTATACTCTAAAAAATTTGTTCAAAATGATACAAAAGTTATTATTTTGGATACGTATACTATACCGTCACCGAGGATATTGCTTCTATTGTTCATAGTATCGCTTAAATGTAACTTGCGTTTAATATTCGCCGGAAATAGCATGCAACTAGGCGCTATCGGGAAATCTGTGTTCCACGATGGAAGCAATTTTCATCTCATTCAAATGTTCACCGATGTAATGATAAATAAGTTAGATAAGAACATGCGGACACGCGAGAAAGAGCTTGAAGACAAAATAACGAGTTTTCGTAAAATTCTCCGACAGTATAAACCAGCTGGAGACGTTCCATTGCATTTCAATGTTCGTTACGCTCTTTATACTATTTTTCGAGAAAAATACTTTACCCAAGAGTATTTCGATTCCATTTACATAGCTGCAACACATCGACAGTTAACGTCCCGTTTGCTACGTTTCATTAACTACCTGGAATCAAATAATGTACCATACATTAAAGCACCATTTTACTATCACGGCAGAAATGGTATGAAACCTCTCGTCGTGAACAAAAAGAGGAATGCAAAGAAATTTGTTTCGTACTTACTATTAGTAGAAGGATATAGGTACACATATATATCGCAGGAAGGCGAACATCACGTTGTCATATTAGAAAAGATATTATTTGATCCCACTGGTTTAATCCGCAGTCTATTAGTTCGCCTTGTGAAAGAAGCGAGTCATTTGGAACTTGTTCTTTGCGAGTTGAATTATTATCAGATTTTACCAGCCTATCGTGATTGGCTGTTGACAGACATTGTGAGTACTGGCACATTATGGCAATTTCCTCTGCGTCCGTATACAGTATTGACATATCATGCTACCCTGGGTCGTACGATCGAGAAAGAAAACGTGGAGCTTAATACTGAGTGTAAGCTTGCTAATCCCTTGTACATTGGTCTTTGCTCTGTACGCTACTACGACAAAATCTACAAAATTCACGACGAACGTAATCTTTCAAGTTTCTTGCTTACGGAATATATGGAGAAGCAACGGAACGATTATAAGTATTATTACCGCTGTCCGGTATCGGATAATCATTTAATTTTGCAATCTGCTAATACGAACGGACGTAATCAGTACATAGACAACATTCAATGGAACGATGTAGATTCCATACCTAATTTTGAGGTCAACGTATGTACGTATTATATGCGTATCGAACGTGAAGTGTATGAAAATGTAAAGATCGAAGAAATGGATACACCGTTAATGCGAATTGCGAGATTTGTCAAAGAAAGACCAGACGTAGTAGTTAATACGATTAAAGCTGCCCCAGTCAATAGTTTCATTGGGAACAATCATAATCATAATACAAAATGTAATAAAAAGAAGAAACATCAGAAGCTAAATGATGAGGATGCAGAACCAGTGGCGTACACACAGTTAAAAGATGCATATGAGAAATGGATGGAGAAGCGAGAAGAATGAATGGTAGCTTATATATGATACATATATATTTATTTTATTTTTATATTTCGTTCGTAACAGGTATGAGTTACTATTTTCTTATACTTACTTTTTGCATTTTTAATAAGCGCATATATCTATATTCATTCTACTCGATAGAATTTATTCCGTACATATTATTTTTTCGTAGAGCAGTAGAATTCTTTCAAATAGAGTATGCAAACTTACAATATATTAGTACTAATAGAATATTTTCATATTCACGAGTGTGTTTATAAGAAACTGTCTGTGCGAATGTATTCTTATTTTTCCTCGCAAAGCGAGTTTATATAGCTACAGATTTGTATTACCTGTATGCCGGTTGATGAGTGCAGAGAATTGTTTATCAGAATTTAAAAGAACAACATTTATAAGTTAGAAAGAAAACTTTCTATATGAGTTACTCCTTAAGATTTTTGTACGAATGTTGATCTTCATAAATATATTCGCAGTGAATGTTAACACTATTTCTATCGGTGTCAAAAGACACCTGAAATTTTTGCTTAAAATTATTAGTTCAATACCTTTTCTTCAATTAAAGTTTTTTATTAACATGTTTCTCTTAATCGATAGTTTAAAGTAGATAACAATAATATTCGTAAATCTTCACTGTTCGCTTCGACGTTTGGAACGTTGAATAACAATATTAATAATTGTACGTTGTGTACGATTTGTAGCCACAAGTGGTTCGCTCGAAGAGAAGCGTAGAAGACCGTAAGTTAGGAAACGCTGTCGGAATTGATAGAGTGGGGAGGAAGACAGCACGCGTGTTCGCCGGGTGCCATGAGTTTGACAGAACGGGCTGGCGAGGGTGGCGCGCAGACGATTACGGGGTGGGAGGAGAATGCGGCGGCGTCAGTGTTCCGCGGACGATCAACGAGTGCGGTTCGTCTATTTGTTCGTGAGTCGCGCTGTGACGTATCGGGTCTTGTCTATCCGTCAATGATCACGTAACCCGCGTAACCACGCGAGCGATCAATGTTTACTGTTCATCCGGAGGTCGATCGAGGCTGTTCGTCGGTCGAATCACCCTTCGCCGAAGGTTGCACGTCCTCCGGTAATCGCTGATCGCGTCGCGTTTTAGCAATGATCGGTGCACGCAGCCGAGCGGTCCTCGAGAGATGCGATCGTTGACGCGTGGAGGAAGCGAATTTACCCGCGATCAGCGATTTTGCGCCGTCGGCCACGAGTTCGTCGATCGAATCGCGGCGGGCAAAGCGAGACGGCGTGGCGTCTCCATCGACGAGCAGCGTAGTTAGTCTCGCGTACGAACTTAAACGCGGGTGAGTGGTACCAAGAGAGAGGGGGAGAGAGATTGGCGAGATAGGCGGGATATGAGCGCGAGAGAAGTCACCCTCATCGGCGGCTCCCCTTGGGGATTCCGTATGCATGGTGGACATGACCTGAATCAACCTCTACGCATCTCTAGGGTAAGTCTATTCGTCTACGCTAATGGTTATTAATCATCATCTGATTACGTACGAGTTGCAATAACGTAGTTCTAAGTTGAACAGTACAATATTCGCATGCTACTGCATTTACTTTAGCATTAATTAATTTCCGTAACATCATGAAAATTAGGTGTCGAGTCGAACTAAAATGTGTCCTGTTGAAACAGGGATACCTCACATATACATCTTACATACATAGAATATCTTTAGTTTTATCTCACTGGCTCTTTCAATATCAGCATACATACTTTATCAACATTACGCGGTCGTTGATTCCTTAAGCCACACTTGTGGCGGCGAGACGCGACCTTTGTATTGTTTTCATTAGCAAGCAATCACTTACACCGAAGCACAGTCTGAAACAGTATGCGTAAAGTGTAGAGTTCACGATCAAAGTTCCCAAAAGTAAAAGATAGCTGCGAAAAAAATGAGGATTTTACATATGAGATTTAGTACACGTTTTCTTTTTACTGTTACGTATTGGTCTATTGGCTAGTGAAAGTATTCTCTTAAGCATTATCTTATAATCTAATAACTGTTTAAAAGCAAATTAATCGGATATAATGCTGTACTTACCAGTATAATAATCGTCAGCTAATAGAGGATAATATTTAAACAGAGATGGTTTTCCGCTTCAATCAAAACAAATCCCTATTGTACATACTAGCATGAAAGATTAAATTCTGGTTGATATTCAGAACACGATTTAATCAGAAAATGAAATGTTAACGTGGGTGTTAAATAAACGAGATGCTAAGAAAATACTTTTATTAGATTTTGTCTAAGAAGACTATAGAAAGAGTACCTGGCAATTTTATTGTTAGTTCTAGGACCCCCCTGCGTTAGCAAGGGTGTCCATTCATAAGAAATGATCATTCGAACCATTTTTTGCGACACTGGGTCCAGGCCCCAGGTCCGTTTGCCCTTAAGACGGCCTGCATCGACGGGACGTTGAAATTTTGTATTTTCTAACTTTTTTACAAGCAGTACTTGCATATTGATTTATTATTCTTATTTTGTCTTTTCGAGTAGTATCTTAATCCTAGTAAAACGATGACGAAAAGATATAATTTGAATAAATGCTCAAGGAAACTTGTAACGCTTTAAACGAGATTTGGATGATAATTTAAATTTTCGAGACGTATTTCGCAATTTTCGTCGCCATAAAAGATATTGGCACTTGAACGCGTTTCGTTATAAATATTGAACGATCGATGTTATCAACGTTGCTAATAGACTTTGGTAGCTGGCACGAGAAACATCGATTTTAAAGGCCAAATGATTTCATAGGGCGTTCATTATAACCACCTACGTATGTATGTAGTCAAATTTATGTATGATACATCGAAAGCGGTTTGGCGCTTGGTTCACGCTAACTTTACGATGTTAAACGATACTTTTGTTTTGCGATCATATTTCACGCGTAGCTATGTTCTAATGCGGTTTGCGAATCCATTATTTCCACTAACAGTTTAAGTTCTTCGATGTGGAATATGGTTTTCTACCTATTTGCTCATTGAAGTTACGTGTGCTCGTATTCATTCTTCAACTTCTTTTGGACAGTTATTAATTCGGATTGCACTATTTTTATTTTCATTGCAAAAAGAAAGATATAGTTTTTGAACATTAAATTCGATGCTCGTACTTAGAATATTTCAAGTAGGGAAGATTCAAGTGGAAACATTTCGGTCTTTCTTTAAACGACCGAAGATCGACGTGATAATAAACAATCAAGAGTCGCGGGTTTAGTCGGTCGAGGCTAATTTTGTTGAACGTATTTACCCGCTTTAAAATGGGCGACCTACTAGACAGCGTGATTAACGTGTGCTCAGCTGATACGGTTTAATTACGACCGATGCGTACATTTCGAAGCCTCTTTGCTGGTTCGTCGTACCGGAATTTCACATTTCGAAGGATCTCGGACGTCCTTCACGTTCCACGAGGTTCAATTCAATCCGGCTATGATTTCTAGTTAATGAAATACAAAAATCCGGTTTGCTCTCAATTTGCGAAATCTATTTTTCATTTTCGTACAATATTTCTTTCTCAATAATTCTCACTTTCCATGATTTTTGTTCTCGCTGGATCGATTCTTAGAATATCACGGGTTTACAAGGAAGAGAAGGAATTTGATCTCCGGTCGATGCCGAACTCACCGATAACAATTAGCGTGGTAGGGATGGCACATGCTTGCGCTATCTTCTAATTTCTTTCCAAAATTTTCGATACATTCACACTCTTAATTTCCTATGCAAATTTAGTACTGTTACAAGTTGAACGATGTCTTCGTTGCAATTTCGCGTACGCAAAGCAATTCATAAAACGATGCGTCTCCCGTACACGTGCTCGTTTTCAGACGATCCCGCGTCGTACACTATTAAGGTACAATAGCGGTATAATGAATGCTAGTTTCAGGTAGTTATCTGAATGTCAGTCACAATCAAGGCTGCAGCCAAGCTACTACGTAACTTTCCCGTTTCGCGCGGAGACACGTGCTCCGCGTAATGTCACGCCTATATTAATACATAATATCATTCAAACTGTTTGGTAGAGTTAACACGTTGGGAATGCACGCTTAATGTCAAAGAAACAAGCATCTGTGTATCAGATAGAGATAATTAAGAAAGATTCTCGCTGCAAGGATCGCTCGTTTGTAAGCGCGAGGCTGTCTGGCCATGAATCGCTTATTCTACTTGACTTTCGTTACTTGTACGCACTTATACTTTCATGCACGTAGGTACCGTATACTCTAACTGTGATATAATACTCGATAAATTAAGAAGTTTCTGCTGTATAAATCTTGGACACGAATTTTTATGTTATGCCTTAGTTAAAATTTATATTACAAATGTCCAATTTCGTTAACAATGAGAGTTTATTGGACATCTATTTTTAAAAATTTCGTAAAGCTATCCTCGACTTCTTTCAACCTTGTAAAACTTGTTTCGTTTAACGATTTCGAAAACAGTTCCTGACGAATATATAATGGAACTTTACGATCGCGTAGTTTTATTACATCATTAATTATTCTAAGTCTGTCTAAGAAAGTATTTTATTTTAGATGAATGAAATTTCATATTAGATCGAGTAAATTTTCTATGTATTTATTTAAGATCGTTTTATAAAACGAAGGTGATGGCACGAGGAGATAAATATGCAAATTCTGTAGCTAATTCTGTCGTTAAATTAATATTAGTATGTTAGCAGAGAAAATTTTGATTTTTATCGTTTATCGAGAAAGTAAACATTTGAGTAAACGGCGCGGTAGATAGCCTTTGAGTAAATGAGCGGCGTTTAAGTAGATAACCGCAGCTTGATACAATAGCGTTAAACAATTGAGGAGAGAATGGATTTTAGCTTGGTTCCAAACGAACGTTGCTATTTTTCCTGAAGAGTCTCGCGTCTGATTGTCGTGGAAATTGGTTACAATCCTCTTTGACAATGTAAGCACTGTCTTTCTCTCAGCTTTCTGTTCACTCTTTGCCGTGTAACCGCTCGCGCCAGAAAGATGAACGGCAAAAGACACAATGAACGTCTTTCATCCACGCGATTTATCACAAAGTTGAATATCGTCGGCGCTTGCTGCAGATAATGCGTTCCTCCAGCTTTTGTCATTCATAATAACAAAAAAAAAGGGAAAAAGTGGAATGTTTATTGGATGACACTCTTCACAATACCTTCGGGCGTGACAAAAACACGAATTCCTCTATTTGAAATAAAACTGATTGTTATAACTCATTGGTAAAAAGCCAAATGAGATTCTAGTCGAAAATTTAAAAACGATTTTTTAGAAGATCTTTATAAATGTATGCGATCTGATAATGAATGAAGACGTGCACTAATAGGTATATTAATAACGGTGTGCAAGAGAAAGCGTGTATGCATTACGAGAAAGAGAAATTAAACCAGGATCGTGGAACGTTGAGTAAAAGCTTTCCTCATTAACACATACGTACAATTTTTTTAACGTAACGTTTGTACTCTGTATTCTTTTATTCAATCCGTCTGCATTTTCATTATTGTACATATAGATGAATGTCTCATTTGAAGAGTCCATATAAAAGCTCGTTTAAAAAAACTTTCAAACAAAACTTATTTTCCTTTATAAAATGTCTCGGTATGAGATCTACTCGACGAAACAGAGTACATTTGAAACATTTCTTCATACTATGTAAGAAATAATGGCTTGCAGTACTTTAAAATGACATTGTGTATGTATCATCTAACGGTTTGAAAGCAGGCAAACTATTTCAATATTTTTGTGCTCCGGCTTTTATGCATCGGGAAATACAATGTGGACGATCCGTTAAAGAGGAATTAGCAGGTACACGAAGAACCAACTTGAGAGATTACAGAGAACGAGTGGTTTGGCAAATACGTAAACCCATCCCACGCAGATGCAATACCAAGCCGGCCTTTATGGTTCGTTGCATTAGATATGTGACATTTATTTGCGGTCTGTCAACTCAACTGCGTTTACTAGGAAATATGGTAGACCCATATTAACGTTAATGTTAACATTTCCTGCCTGGTTATATGCTTCGTTAATCGTATATAAAATGACAATTACTTATTTCGCGAAAAAATTTGAGGTTTAGGGGATAGAGAAATTTAATATCCTCGAAATGTGATTATCTCCTGTCTTGGTTTTATTGATTCGTCTTCCGTCTACTGCGCCTGTGTTGATACGTCTATATATACGTTTGGAGAGATTGTATCTCCCAGTGGAAATATTGCGTTTTGTGCAAACATTCAGCGTCCGCCATGAATTGAAATTAACGAGTTTCAAAAATTGTTTTTTATCGAATGCATGCGCGGTTTCGCTTTTAAGAGACTCTACACTCTATTACTCTTAAATGACCCAGAGGACTACGTGGAAGCTTTATTATGTTAATCATTCTCATTGTTGGAAGTTGAATGGCAGTACGCTGTTAACCGCGAACAATCGACATTGGTATCGCGTTTCAAGGCCACGGGAA